TACGGTGGGGAAGGGTGGCACGATCGCTGTTCTCGGAAGAACCTTGGATCACTGCAACGCAGATTCTTTCCCCACCATGACCAAGCTGCTGAGTGGAACACGACTTTAGTTAAGCGATGACATTGCCATTGCGCTATCGCTTTTGATTATGCAAGTGGTGTTACCTGGTTAGTTACATAATCAATTCAACCATAATCAAATGTTGTTGCTGATAGAATGAAAATATGGACGGTTTTAAAAGTGGAGGTTGCAACTTACGCGGACGACCAACTGACTTCTTTTCTGATGGTTGGGCTCCTGATGAGGAAGTCTCCAACGAATAAGAGGTCTCAATACCCGGAGGAGGGTTGGCCAGGATATTGTCTTTAGAGACCTCGTATTCATTAGAGATATGTGATCTGATGCCCGTAGCGCCATCCATCTAGTGGGATGAGGTAAACTAGCCTGTTTCGATGTGAAAACGCCGCGTCGGTTACTCACGGGCTCCGAATTTGAACAAAATGTCGCAATACACAGCATTTGACAATCCAAATATAGGTGCAATGATAAAAATAGTTTGTCCAGTTTGCTTCTTTTTACGGGGCCTCTTACGGCAGTTTTGGGTAACGTCCACTGTAACAACCTCTGCGGCATTGCATATTAGCGATGAAAATCACTAATACTTACTTGTAATCACAACTCAAATCATAACAAACCTCACCTTTGAAACTACATTTCTTTGAGCATCAGGGGGCACGCACTTTATCACGATGTTGTACATTATCATACTGTACCCTCCTTCAACCCTTTTTCAGTCATCATCTCGAGCATAGTATCGAAGTAAACATCTTGATAATCATATGTGACCTTTACACAGTCATAATCACTTACAATCAGCATGTTAACCTTCTTGACCTTTTATAGTAATATGGAGTCCTTTCTTTTTATGTTATTGTACTTAGGAGAAGAACTATCAGCTTAAATTACCTGTTATTACTCTAGAGGGTTGCAACTGACAACAAGTAATTTCCATGGGGTCCTATTCTGCTCGTTCTGCTTCTGTGACGGTTGCATTTTACATAATAGTATGTAACGTAGTCAACATGAACGACCATTTGGTAGTTTGCAAACTCCGGTTTCCATATGACTCTGCATTTTAACTATCTAAATCAAGGTGTGACGCCATACAAGAAAAAAATCACTGATGTAAAATGCTTAGAATAGGTACTTTAGGTTAATGTGCATGCTCATAGTATGAAATATACCCAAGCATGGCATTACATTAGAAAAAATGCATTATTTAACACAATATGACAGTTTGAGTCGTTACCACGTTCGGCCTTCAAAAGTGGTGCGCGAACCACGAGCTATTATTCAGGTACAGTGCTCCCCTCGTAAACTGTAACACTACTTCCTGTACACCTAAAGTTGTGAATAAATCAATCAACCG